CTGTGGTACATATATACAATAGAATATTACTCAGCCATAAGAAGAGATGATACTGCCATTTGCAACAACATGGATGGACCTTGAAATAATCATACTAAGCAAAATAAGCCAGACAGAAAAGGTTAAAAATCACATGATATCACTTATATATGAGATATAAACCTAAAAGCAACAAATGAACGGGACAAACAAACAGAGACTCATGGATATGGACAATGGACTAGTGGTTACCAGAGAGGAGGGGGGAGGTAAAAGGGGGGAGGTAGACAGGGTAAAAAATTACATCGTTTCTTCAATGTAAAAATAAATAAATAAACAAACAAATAAATAAATAAATGAAAAAAATAGAGGCTGTTCAATATGGCTTGGAAAAAAAAAAAAAAGAACTGTAATTACAACTCATTTACATGGAGGAATATTCCACAAATGAGAATACATCACCTCCTGATTCTCAACCTTCTAATCAAATCATCAATCTCTAAATATTTATATATTTGGTTAAAATAAAGGAAAATTGTGACATCATAATGCAGTGTATCTGATATAAATGGCATTGTGTTTGACTAACTAGGTCACCGTAATCTCATTAGCACTTCAGTGACTGGTTTGCAAATGGACATTTCTCAGTTGTAGTTCACAAGATCTAAATGTAAGTCACTTTAGGGTCTTTAGAGAGAGTTTTCTCAGCTCTTAAAGAAATAAAAGACATGACAAGTTGTTTACATATAATAAAGGATGTCTATATCAAATTTAGAATTAATGAATTTAGCATGATTGCTAGATATAAGGTCAATATTATAAAATTGAGTTGTATTTCTATATATTAGCATCAGAAATTATAAAAAGAAACATTTTAATGCTATTTACTATAGAAACAGAAAACATCAAATACCTAGGAACAAATCTAATAAAAATTCACAAGACCTCTGCCCAGAAACCTATATAATATTTCTGAGAGAAATTAAAGAAGACCTAGATAAATCAGAGATATATTTATGGATTAGAAGATAATATTATGAAAATTAAATCAAGACATTTCTCACCAAAATGTTCTGTAGATTCAATCTAATCCCAGCTGGAATACCAGCTGGGGTTTTGTTGTTGTTGTTGTTGTTGTTTTTGGTTTTTTTGGCGAATGGAAATTTGCAAGTTGATTCTAAAATATATATATGGATATCA